ATGATGTGTTCCACAATCAGCTCCTGGCCTTGTTTTGGCTGAACATATTGAGCTCCATCGCCTCTTGTCACAGATGTAGTCAATCTGATTCCTGTGTACTGCATCTGGTGAAGTCCACATGTTTAGCCACCATTTGTGTTGTTGAAAAAACGTATTAACAATGAATAAGTCATCGGTCTTGCAAAATTCTATCATGTGATCTCCAGCATTATTTCTGTCACCAAGGACAAATTTTCCAACTACTGGTAACTCTGTTTCCAACTTTTACATTCCAGTCACCAGTGATAATCAACACATCTGGATTGCATGTTTGGTCAATTTCAGACTGCAGAAGTTGGCAAAAATCTTCAATTTCCTCATCTTGGCTTTGGTGGTTGGTGCATAAATTTGAATAATAGTCATATTAACTGGTCTTCCTTGTTGTTGTTTTGCCATCGAGTCGGCCCCGACTCATAGTGACCCCTCCTTGGGTTTCCGAGGCAGTTATCACTACGGAAGTAGGATTGCCCAACCTTCCTTCCGAGGAGTGGCTGGTGGGTTTGAACCGCCAGCCTTCTGATTAGCAGTCAAGTGCCTTAGGCACTATGCTACCAGAGCTCTTGGTCTTCCTTGTAGGTGTATGGATATTATCCTATCACTGACAGCACTGTACTTCTGGAAAGATCTTGAAACCTTCTTTGTGACAATAAATGCCATACCATTCCTCTTCAATTTGTCATTCCCGGCACAGTGGATCCTATGGTTATCTGATTCAAAATGGCCAAAACCAGTCCACTTCAGCCCACTAATGCCTAGGATTATCAATCTTGATACAGTCCATTTCATTTTTGACAACTTCCAATTTTCCTAGATTCATACTTCATATGTTCCAAGCTCTGATTATCAATGGATATTTTCAGCTGTTTCTTCTCATATTGAGTCACTTTAGCAAATGGAGGCCCTGAAAGCTCTACTTTATCCATATCATTAGGGTAGGCTCTACTCTGATGAGGCAGCTCTTTCCCAGGCATATTTTCAGTGACTTCCGAACTGAGGGGTTCATCTTCCGGCACTGTATTAGACAATGTTTCAGGGATATTCATAAAATTTTCCAGTAATACATCAAACAGTGTTTCATTACTATTCATAAGGTTTTCATTGGCCAATTCTTTGAGAAGCAAATGACCTCTTTCTTCTTCCAAGTCTTTCTCAGTCTGTAAGCTGCACCAAAACCGGTCCACCACAGGAATCCCTCCTGGCACAGCCTCCAGCCTCACAGCGATAAGCAAGCCACCACAGTACAACAAACTGACAAACAAGTTCCTCTCCCTCAGATGTTCCAACTGCTCTGCTCACTTCCTGGGCTTCTCCCAACCTGTTCCTACTGGCACTGTCTGCCATTGCTCCCTGCCGCAAATTCAATAGTTTCTAGTATATTCATGTTGTGCAACCACCACCACAATCAATGTTTAACAATCAATTTTTTAACATTTTCATCACCTAAAAAAGGAACTCATGGCCTATCTCCCTCCACCCCTAGGATTATTTGTGGGCTCTCAGTTCTTTTCCATTGATCTATTTGTCTATCCTTATGCCAGTATCACACTATCTTGATTACTCTTACTTTGCAGTAAGTTTTCAAATAGGGAAGTGTAACTTCTCCAACTTTGCTCTTTTTTAAGGTTATTATTTTTTTTTAAATGCATTTTATTGAAATACCATTTATGTGCAGTGAAATACACAAAATTAAAGTGGCAAGGGGCAATGCTTTTTTTTTCTTTTTTTTTTTTTCAGTGTTCCCTCTTCTCCCCTCCCACCCCTGGTAACCAAAAATGAAAGTTTCCCTCCATATATAAACCTTTCCTTGACCTTCCACAACAATGAAGTAATACTATATTTGTCCTTCTGTGATTGACTTATTTCACTAAGCATAATGTCCTCCAAGTTCATCCATGTTATGCAGTGTTTTGCAGACTTTACATTATTCTTTAGTGCTGCATAGCATTCCATTGTGTGTATGTACCATAGTTGGGTCATCCATTCTTCCACTGATGGGCACATTGGTTGTTTCCATCTTTTTGCTACTGTAAGTAGTACTGCAATGAACATGGGTCTGCATTTATCTTTGCCTGTCCTGGCTCTCACATCTCTAGGCTATATACCTAGCAATGAGATTGCTAGGTCAAATGGTATCTCCAATTCCAGTTTTCTAAGGAATTGGCATACTGCTTTCCACAGTGGTTTTATCACTTCACAGTCCCACCAGAATGTATTAGAGTCCCAATCTCTCCACATCCCCATCAGCTTTTGTTCTTTTCTGTCTCACTGAACCTTCCCATCAGGGCTGGGGTAAGATGGTATCTCATTGTTGTATTGATTTGCATCTCTCTGATGACTAACGATCATGAGCATCTCTTCACGTATTTGCTGGCCACCTGAATATCCTCCTTGGTGAAGTGTCTATTCATGTCTTCTGCCCATTTTTCAATTGGATTGTTAATTCCTTTGCTGTTGAGGTGTTGGAGTTTTCTATAAATTCTAGAGACAAGTTCCTTGTCAATATGTAAATATCAACAAGTATGAATTTGTTGCTGTCATTTTTGTTATGTGATTTTTGGTAGCGTTAATTTCTTTGTTCCATATAATTTTCTATGCTGAACTCATTTTTTTTTATGAATCGTGTTTTCACTTCCTTCATTGCTACCATGGGTAACCCTACTGGTATTTGATATACTGAAGGCATAGCCCTCCAGCCTCACAGCAACATGCAAGCCACAGTACAACAAACTGATAGGTAAAATTATAATTACAGAGAGTAATTATAATTTATATTAAATTATCTAAGGTCATTTTGAAGTCCTTAAAGCTCTTGTCATATATTCTTCCTTATTCTTACTGACTGCTGTCAAGTCAGATCCAACTAATAGTGACCCCTCCTTGGTTTCTGAGGCAGTATCACTACAGAAATAGATTGCCCCATCTTCCTTCCAAGGAGTGGCTGGTGGATTTGAACCACCAACCTTCTGGTTAGCAGTCAAATGTCTTAGGCACTCAGCCACCAGAGCTCCTTGGGACCTCATTATTAAATAAGTCTTTTCCTCTCTAAAATATATTAATGTAATAAGACATTATTGAAAAATTTGGAAGTAATGATATGAACACAATATGAATGTATAATGAAGTTTTAAGTAATTTGGTAGGTAATTAGAAACAATCCATGTAACATCATTAATATGCAATGCAATCTAGCAGTTGACCTTATCACATAAGTACATTCGAAATATTTTCTGGGTGAACATCCCATTCTTTCTTACAACAGAAAATAAGTAGGTCATAATAATTTTTTCTCTGATAAAATATAATAAGCAATATGAATTAAATATGATTTATCCTTTTAGGTCTACTCTCAGTGGAAGGGACCACTGTCTAAAAAAGGAAAGAGACAAAAGGATGAGAAAAAGTGAACAGCACTAGGGGCATAAATCATGATTTCAAGTGTGTATCTGAGATCAATTTATGAATTTCAAAAGGATGATACAGAATATTCAAAACCAAATCAATGAAATACCATTAATAACAAAATCTCAAACCATACAAGTTAGGCATCATGTCAGAATCCACCTTTTTAGTGTTTAGTGTTGCCCTGTTACTAAAAAAAAAACTCACTACTGTCAAGTTGGATCTGACTCAGAGCAACCCCTCCTTGGGTTTCCGAGACAGTATCACTACAGAAGTAGATTGCCCAGTCTTCCTTCCAAGCAGTGGCTGGTGGGTTTGAACCACCAGCCTTCGGGTTAGCAGTCAAATGCCTTCACATGGCAATATAACATAGTTTCTAAAGGATCTTCTAAAATAAGGCACTCACCCTCCAGAAACTCATCTACTATTAATCCTTCTTTTGCTGAACAGGGGTGTCATATTTCCTTTTCAATGCAACATTGGATCAAAACTACTGACAAGGACTTGTGAGATGAATATAAAGTTGCTAACTTTAATAATGTGGTAGTTAAATTTGTATGTTAACTTGGCTTGGCCTGGTTGAGTGGCTGGATAGCTGGTGGTGTTTCTTCCCCATGATGAGACTGGCAATCAACTCCATTGTGGGATCTATCACAGGCAGCTGAGTAGCTGCCTTTGGGATGTGGTCTGCTTCCTGTAAATAAGGAGAAGCCTCGGGAACAGTCTCTAGCTTATGGCACGCTTGGACCCTGCATGTAGCCGTGTCGTTGTTCAGCAGCCTGCCATACCCTGCCAACCTTGGGACTTACAATGGACTTGAATTAATGGCCTGCCGGGTGGTTTGGTAACATCGGAACTGTGCCTTTCTACTTTCAACCTTGGGTTTATCAGTCTCAGCAGCCAGCAGCTGTCTGAGTGAAGAAAAGCCTCTAGCTCCAGTGAGCCAGGAGCAGGAGGCAGAGCTGAACCCCAAGGCTGAGGGGCTTTCATACAGCCTCTAGGGGCTAGCACTTTGAATTTGGACTTCTAGCCTCCTGAACTGTAAGAGAATAAACTCCTGTTTGCTAAGGCCATCCTATTTGTGGTATATTCTTGTCAGAGCAGCCCTAGGTAACCAGAACAAATAGCAAGGGGTAAAAAATTCTGACTAAAAAGTAGGATAAAAAATTGGACACAAGATACAGAAAGGAAAAAACAGCCCACTAAAAATTTTTAAGGAATGTTGATGTTAACTATAACCATGATGATCCAGGCCATTCTTAAGAATTCTTGACTGTGATGAGGGCCAACTTAGGAAAGAGCCATTTTCATGTATAAAATATAAGGAAGAGTTTAGGGAACACAGCTTAAGATTATTTTTTTTAGTTTAAATATCCAAAAACAAACACTTATATCTACTTTTCTAAGGAGGTAGAGAAGGAATTTGAAAAATTCCAGAGTACTTATTCTCAAAAGCATGTTATCACACTAATGCATCCTGGGGGAAACAAAGTCATGCTGGGTAGAATGCCCCAAACTATGCATACCAGAATCTGTGTCACTATATTCTGAGATCTTCTCACCTTAAAAGTTGTGGTCCCATAAAGCTTGGTGGTGTGGACTGTCTCTGGAAGCACATTAGTGATATTGGTAATAAATTCTTCCAAATATTTGCAGGATTTCTCCAAGTGTGTTGTATTGATGATAATCTGGACAAGCTAGAAAACAATGAACACATATAAGAATCATATTTGACTATTCACTGAAGGATGAATGACTCAATATAAATCTGCAAGTACAAAAACAAAATAAAAAGCAAAAGGCATTATGGCAGAGGCCATCTGTTTTTTGTAGAGTATGTTAAGGCACAGATGTAAGTGTAACTTCCTCAAGAAGCCTTCTCTGACCACTCAAAACATCTTGTATTCCCCACTATTACAGGAGCTTGACATTCGATTTTAAACACATTTTCTTCTGTTTAAAGACTAGACTAAGAACAAAAACTGCTAGAGTTTAGCATAGTGTTTACCAATAAATAATTGGCCAAATTAGCTAATAAATGAATTTTTACTAAAAGAAAAAGGCTACTTGAAATGGCTTTAAAATTAGGCATGACAGACAGTAATGGTGGAATAAATTGCAGTATTAACAAAATTGCAGTATTAACAAACTACATCAGGTATGGCAGAGAGAACATGAACACTTACGTCAGGGAAATGATGAAATGACAATATTAAGAGTTAGAAATTACTGATCTTAGGAAAGTTTCTTAACTTCTCTAACCTATTTCCTTATCTTGAGAATGTTAGTAATTTCTAATCCACAGAGTTATCATGAGGATAAATATTCTGTGTGGCAGTTAAGGTTGTATATCAACATGACTGGGTCATGGGTCTGAGTGTCTTGGCAACTGGATATAATTATTCCCCATGATGAGACTGTAATCACCTCCATGGTTGAATCTGCTGTGAGACATTAATTGGCAGAAAAGGAGCTGCCATTAGGGTGTTGCCTGCTTCCAGTATATATGGAGAAGCTTTGAGAAAGGTCTCTAGCGTTTTGACATAATTTGGATTGTGCATTTGGCCAAGTTTTCTTCTCCAGTTCCTGGACTTGAACCAGTGCCATGCCGTGTTGTCTGATAATTCTGGGATTGTATCTGCACTTGAACCAGTGGCCTGATGTACTGCCTGCCAATCTTGGGAGTATGCCATTTTACCTATTGGCCTGGGTTCATCAGCCCTAGCAGTCGGTAGCTGTATGAGTCAGAAAGACGCCTCCAGCTCCAATGGGCCTAAGAACTAGAGGCAGAGCTGAAGCCCACAGTCGAGAGGCTATCACCTAGCCCCTAGAACCAGCACTCTGAACTTGGACTTCTAGCCTTCTAAACTGTAAGAGAATAAATTCCTGTTTGTTAAGCCATCCATCTGTGGTATTTCTGTTATAGCAGCACTAGAGAACCAAGATACTCTGTTATAAATACTATTTCCATTCTCTTATAGAAGAAGGTCTAAAAAATATTGGTAAGATAATAGTAACCATATTCTAAAAATTATTTTGAGAGGACATGATCAAGGAAGAATAACAATCATTGTCTGTACAGAGATTTAAAGTTTGGAACACTATATAATTCATTTTCTTATACTGTCTTCCCAGCAACCTGGAGAAGTAGATTAAATGGGCATAATTATCACTCTCTTTTTATTGTAACAAAAAGGAAAATAATTTTCTCTAGATTGCATAATCCAAGTAATCTGACTTCTGATTTTAAAATCACCTAAATGACTTGTGACAGTGTTTTTTAGCATAAAACCCAAAGCAAACCTACGACCATCAAGTCGATTTCAACTCTTAACAACCCTATGTTGCTATTGTTGTTATGTGCCATGGAGTTGGACCCGACTCATAGCGACCTCTCCTTGGGTTTCCGAGGCAGTATCATTACGGAAGTAGATTGCCCAATCTTCCTTCCGAGGAGTGCCTTAGGCACTATGCTACCACAGCTCTTTAGCATAAGAAGTCCGTAAAATGGCAGCCCTGGAATACTGTATGTTTGTATACATTAGGTTCAAGTACCAAATTCTGGGTCTGTCATTATCTACACCACTCAGAGCTTTGATTCTATTCTCTAAAAAAAGAAAAGTTGTGTGGGTGGGGGGTGCAGGAAGAACGGTACCCACTACTTATTTAAATATGAAAATTGTTTATATTACCTAAAGTCTAGGAGAAAATCAAAAAGGAATGAAATGTAACCTTATTTTTCTCTCTTTCTTCTTACATATTTAGCTTTTCATTTTCAGAAGAATATATTTGGTGGTAGGGTTGTGGCAGTTGAGGAAAGTCTTAGCATAGAAGGCTGTGAATGAATTTAAGCATTATTTTAGTCTAGTAAAATAATGAGAAATGGGGAGACTGGGATAATAACAAAAAGAAGAAATTGGAACTGAGGATGAGGGAGGTACTACATATTTTTACAATTCAATGGTATTTCAAAATAATATTTAAAAGCTGGAATGATACTTCAGTAAGACTTACACTCCTTGGGTTTCTGAGGTGGTATCTCTAGGGAAGTAAATTGCCCAATCTTCCTTCTGAAGAGTAGCTGGTGGGTTTGAACCGCCAGCCTTCTGGTTAGCAGTCAAATGCCTTAGGCACTATCACCAGAGCACCCCCTACTATATCATGTTGTTGTTATGTGCCGTTGAGTTGGACCTGACTCATAGCAACCCCTCCTTGGGTTTCCAAGGCAGTATCACTACAGAAGTAGATTGCCCCAACTTCCTTCTGAGGAGTGGCTGGTGGGTTTGAACCGCCAGCCTTCTGGTTAGCAGTCAAGTGCCTTAGGCACCATGCTACCAGAGGTCCCCTACTATATCATAGTGTAGAATATTAATATATATTTAGCTCTGGTAGCACAGTGCCTAAGGCACTTGACTGCTAACCAGACGGCTGGCAGTTCAAACCCACCAGCCGCTCCTCGGAAGGAAGGTTGGGCATTCCTACTTCCGTAGTGATACTGCCTCGGAAACCCAAGGAGGGGTCGCTATGAGTCGGGGCCGATTCGACGGCACTTAACAACAACAACAACAACAAAGGATCACCTTAAAGATCTGAGGAAAAGAGCTACTTTAGAAACATGATGATTTTGGACAAAGACTAGAGATGTACTTCTAACATATTCTCTTAGATGAAAAGTGAAGGCAATATTGGGGCTAGATCTCTGTATTATTTATTCCCTACAATTCATCAGAATACTTCATATTGATCAGCAGCCCCTTCCTCTTCACTCCACAGTCTGAATTTGGAGACTTTGAGTTTTGGACACAATATTATGATCTTCTATAAAATTACCAAAAAAATCAGTCTTTAACTTTAGAATGCTCTAGGGAAAATTACCCACCAAAATAAGCAATTCATCAACTTCTTCCTTTCATTCTGTTTCTCCTTCAGAGGAGGACTAAAATAACTTCAAAAATTTAAGTTGTCTAAATTAAATCACTCTTCTTCCTGAGTGGGAAGGTGGCTATTGGCAAGGTTGTCTTGATGTGGAAGTCAGAAAAGTAAGAGAGTTAATTTGGAGAACTGAAAAATTTCTATTTTAAAATTAGCATTACCTATAGGGAAGGCATTCTGTCTATCAAAAGAAATCGTAATAATAAGGAGGAATCGTGTCATGTTATCGAATTAAAAAAACAGTGGCAGTCAAAGAGAAAATTGTCCTGTTTTGCAGGATATTGGCAGTTTAAAAAAAGGAGGCGGCTTCACTGGGTACAGTAGTAATTTCCCATGACTTTTTAAAGATCTGTCAACACAAAAGATCACCATGAATTACATCAATTGGCTGTCAGTCACTTTTGAAATGTTTCATTGCTGAGCATAGAATAGACTATTAAAACACTCTAGGATTACAGCAGATACCATGTCATTTTCAGAGGGAATATTGTCTGTTAATGAGGTCTAAGTGATCCTTACTCCTGAATGACAGATACCAAAATCCTTAGAAGCACATTTACAAATGTAAAGCCAGATGCTTTGGGAGTAATTTTAAACTTAAGGATGAAACAAAGCAACTTCAGATATCAACTTCTATCAGAGTTAGAGCTTCTCTGATGATATTTTTAACCCCTACTTCCCACTCTCTTACAAAAATATATCACTGCAGCAATCCAAACCAGCCTTAACACTGTTTCAAGGACACAGATTAATAACCGATTAGATATTTGTTATCTCTTATACAAAGTTCTTTGAGAACTATACAAGAGAAAAGAAAACCCCGTAAGATGAACACTTCTCACAAGTAAATGACAAACGTTGAAAACTATTAAGAAGTAAAAACAATGTTTGTGTTTCTCTCTCCCTGTTTTAGTTACCTAGTGCCGCTCTGACAGGAATATACCACAAGTAGGATGGCTTGAACAAATAGGAGTTTATTTTTTTACAGTTTTGGAGGTTAGAAGTCTGAGTTCTAAGTGCCAGGCTCGAAGGGCTGGATGAAAGCCCCCCAACCTTGGGCTTCAGCTCTGCCTCTTGCTCTCGGCCCACTGAAACTAGAAGAATCTCTTCACTTAGGCAGCTGCTAGCTACTAAGGCCAACAAACCCAAGGTTGACAAGTGAGAAGGCACAGTCTTGATACTACCAAACCACACAGCAGGCCATTGATTCAAGACCATTGAAAGTCCCAGGATGGACAGAGCATGGCAGGATGCTAAACGACTCAGCTACATACGGTATTCAAGCACTCCATAAGCTGGAGACCTTCCTCAAAGTTGCTTCTTATATACGAAAGCTCCTCCCTACTCATGCAGCGGTAGGGGCCGATGAGCTCAAGGTTGGCAGGCAGTATACTGGCTGCTGACTGCAGTGGACGACAATTCTAAGATCACCAGGTTGAATGGTGGACTGTTCACTCTTGGACAGTTGTAGGCAGCACAACGGATCCAGATCAACAGAAGAGTCTCATTTTCCCAAGATATCCTATACATACTGGAAGCAGGCCACACCCCTAGGGAAACTCCCTTGCAACATATTGGCTACTCGAAACATATATATCTGATCTCATCATGGGAATAACCACATCACAACTGCATATACCACTTAGAATCAGGGTCCAGCCAAGTTGACACACAACTCCAACTATCATACTCCCCTCTAACAGAAAGGAAGGCAAAGTGTACACTGTGGAGTTCACATTTCCTCCAACCCTGCTCCCACCACTCC